GGGCCAAAGCCTCACTCAGAGCCTCGAGCCCATCCCAGGACTGGCAGAACACAAGAAGTGGAAGAACCGATCAAGGGTGTGCAGATCTGTGAAGAGGCATCATATAGCAGCATGCTTCGACATAAATTCAGCAAGCAGGAGGCAAAAGCACATCCCTGTTGCCGCAGCTGTGTGCATGCTGGCGTCAGACGCCATTGGCCTGAAAAGGACATTCAAACATGTACAGAAACACGATCTTGAAATCGCTTCGCATTTCTGTACCTCTTAAAATGCAGAGACTGCTAGACCCCATCAAGCTGGGGTGAATGTCCACTGCGGGAGCTCGCGGCCTGTCCAAGCCCCTCTTCTAGGCTCGGGGAAAAACCCAAGAGCAAGAGAAATTCTGTAGCATTAACCGCTATCGGCCGCTATCAGCGGCGGCAACCGGATCTTCCAGGCCATCGCAGATGCGCTGCAGCGTGAAGACGGAAGCATTCCTTGGCTCCAGGTGCTCACCGTTATCAACGCACTGTTAATCAAATTCCAGCAATTGCAGCCAGGCGTCTGGGTGCGAATGAGCAGCGAGAAGCACTCCTAAGCAGAGGCATAGAGTGACGTGTAAGTTGCCTTTGCCTGAACCCAGCCTCGCTGATCCAAGACGTCTGTTTGGCACTCAGTTGTGACTCTTGAAGGACAGCTTTCACAGTCAGCTTTTCGAAGACCTGAAAGCAAAGCACAAACGGGTAAGCTGCTTTGTGCCCCAGGTAATTATCCCAACTTCTATCCCAGGGACATCGGGAATGACACACTTGAGATCCTCCTCGCTGATCATGCCATCGCCATCAAAGTCGAAAAGCCTGAAGAACTGTTCCCGTCACGCCACCCCCGCCCATACATTTTGGCCATCCCGTCCTGAAGGCGGCGCTGATGTGCAATGGGTCCGTATACCATGCCTCGAGGCTCTGATGATGCGGCTCTGATGATTCTGCTGATGCTGATGAATCTTGGCGTAACAACTGCTGCAACGCGTATCGAGCGGCAGGATCTGCTGTGGCGGCCAGCCACTCGGAATAGCTGATGTGCCTCAGCGGCTGCAAGACCGAATTGGCAAAACCCTCGGTCTCGGAAACGCAAACTGCTGCTGTTGTTAGGGTCAGGCCCCGTGCCAGTTGCATCGACCTGGTAAGAGTGGCATGAGGAAGCTCACTGTGCAATCAAACAATCCCCGTTCCTTGTTCACAAGTCGGGCAACATCTTCGTGGAGCTCCTGCGATAGGAAGGATGCGGTTCTTTGTTGATGGGATCTTAAACATCTAAGCCCTTAGTGGAAAGTAAGTTGCCGGCCGTCTGGAACTTTTTCATGGTGTCTTTCATGGCATCGTCTCGTGGCTGCCTGCTTGACACAAAGGGCATTTGTTGTCACACTACCAACACAGTCCCCGCCTGGAAGCACCATGCGGCCTAGCAAAAGCTTCACTGCAAATGTTCTTGCAACGGGCCTCTCGCTCATACAAATGCATTGAATGTGCAGCTGGAGCGCATGAGACGGGATCTCCCCCGACGCTTTCTTCCAACCTCCTGACAGGCAGCAGTGCTACCAATGTGCAGCGATAGAGGCAGCGGGGCCGCGACCCCCCCAATGGACTTGCGCACCAGTTTCCGCATGTCATCAAGCCTGAAGCCCGTAGCCCGTAGGCCGCGACTCAGCAACGATCATGTTTGCAGCTTCCGCGTGGGCTGGGCAAGAAACATTTCATCTCTCAGCGCTCCGTAAATGTCTTCCTGAAGTTCCCGCTGGCAAAGCTAAAGCACAAAGGTACAACGAAATCACTATGACTTGCACGGTGTCGATGCCACTCGTCAAATTCCGATCCAGGGACCTTGTGTGCACAATGCAACCACTGGCTTGGTTTCATCTTAGGCTGAGGGTGGGACATGAATCTCTCAATGCTGGGAGCGAAGTCTGCGTCGGACTCTGCACGTGTGACCTTACAGCCAGAACTTGTACAAGGGCTGCCACCAAAGCAGAAGCAAGGGACCCTGCCATGGCAACAATTGCTGCCTTGCGCAGAAAGCACGAGTGCGATTGTACTACAGACACTTTCTGGGGAAATCGCCCCCTTTCATGCCACTGGACAGTCCCTCAATGCAGAGCGCCTTCTTCAGCAGCGGGAAAGACCCGTAGGCGTACCTTTGCGAAGCAAAAACCGCTGCGCCGGGACATCTGCGAATATTTGCGAAATCTCCGTAAAAAGGCAGAGATACAATCGCTTTTGGCGGTGCTCAGGTAAAACTGAGTCTAGCTCACAGCTTGTTTGCGGAGGTTTCTGTTTTGTTCTTCGCAGCCCTGATCTGCTTCTTTGGGTGCCACTACTCTAGCCACGCTAAATTGGCGAGGAACCCTGGGGCTTCGCAGAAAGTCGGATGATTTCGCGGCACGGCGGCAGAGCCCTTCGGCCTTACATATGTTGCGAAATAATTCAAAAAACAACTAGTGGCCTAGAAATATTCTTTTGAAAGGGAAAGTTTGGAAGACTACTTTTAAAAGGGCCACCTAATAATGAATGTGGGGGAGTTCTGAGGTCCTTAAGGGGGTATGATAAGCCCCTTCATTTCGTATGTTTTTATTGGTTTTAGATCCTTGGTATGACGGCTTGTTTAAGAATTAAATTTCGATGGTCATGCAGTCCATGTAGATTTTAACTAGCTTCAAATGATTTAAAGCAAATTTTAATGAGAATGCGAATTACATGCTAATTATCCCATTTAGTTTTCCATCTTAATTACGTTTACTTGCGGTGCAATGGATCTTAATCAGAATTGAAGTAGACTTGAATCAGATTCCAGTTGATCTTAATTTAGTTGTTCATCAGATCGGAAGTCGATGTCAATTTTATCTCAATGAGATTGCTGAGATTGCACTCAAGTTTTAAGTAGGTTCTAAGCAGATTTTAATTAGGTCTAAATTGGATCGGAATTCGGTTTCAATTAGATTTCAGTTGTTCTAATTTGACTTCCATTAGCTCTGAACTGAATTCAGATTAAATTGAATTAGACAAAAATTGGGAAGGGGCTGCTACAGGCAGCCCTATCTAATCCTTTCAATAAATATCGCCCCCCGATATTAAACATGCTTTGGGGCCCAGAATATTCAATGTTACCGGGGGAAGACGTCGACATCTTGGAGGCATGGAGCAAGCATGCAGCGGTGGTCAAAACGTAACACAAGCTTCTGTCGAGTCTTACAAACTCAGGAGTACCCCGTTGGCGGAATGAACCATCGCGATCCGTAGGCAAAGCTTGCTGTTGGATCTTGAAGCTCCGCAAATTTGTTTGAGTCATATTGATGCATCCCATTCACGGTAACTTTTAGTAAGGCGCAAGACTGGTGCGCTATGAAGCGAACGCTGTGATGGTAGACATGCACACCCAGCAAATTCAGTGTACAATCTTTCAAAAGCAGGTCTGGAAGAATCGCAGAAAAAAACAGGCATTGCCAGGCAGGTTGCCCGTGCGGATAGCGCAACATTGTTGGTTTGTTCAATGCGTCACTTGAAGCAAACGAAAACGTGGAATGACGGAAAACATGCCAATCGAGCCTAATTCTCAAATGCTTCTTAACACCCTACACCATGTTCTGAGGCTTCTGCATCTGATCAAGTAAGTGGGCATCCAGCCGCGCGGAGCGCGCTCTAAGCCGCTGGGCGGAGCCCTGCAGCATCGGAGAGCGCAGCACCTCTCCCCAAGCTGCACCAAGCTGTGTGAAGCAACTTGGCCGAAGCAGGACTGCAATGGAGCGCATGACTTCCACCGGTGCCTCTTCAGCAGAGGGCCTGTCTTCCGGATTGGGCCTGTTGAAGCAGACTTGTGAAAGACTGGACAGACTCGACATTTATTTGGCAATTGGTGCGTTGCCTGGTCAGCTGCTCCAGCAGAGCTCTAGCCTCGCAAGCTCCAGCATCCAGCAGCCTTGGGGGCCGGTCCGCTTGCACGAGGCCACCTCATCGGAGACGAAATTCAGGCGAATCTTGCTCATCACATAGCTTCCATCCTGCAACGATATGCCCAGAAAAAAGCTTCTCATGTAGTGCATGTGGCAGCGCCTCGCGTGCTTTGGGAGGATGGCCAGTTAGCAACCAATGCCTCCGCACCCGGCAAGCAGAGGCAACACAGAGGAGAATGATTTGCGCTAGACTCTGACACCCTTCAGCCAGGTAGCAGAATACAACCAACAGAGAAGATGTCGGCCTGACCAGCAACTCTGCAAAAGTACCAGTACCAGGTCAAACGAAAACGAGGTCGACCTTCTCATCATACGGCTGATGTCGGAGAATTTCAGGGGCCATGAAGCCGTCCGTGCCACACTTGCGTGTGAGGCGGTGCCTCACAGCACGCAACAGAGGAGCTCTGCCAGGGATGGTCATAGTTAGGGAGCCGGGTGCTGCGCTTCACATGGCAGCAGGAAGAGACACCAAAGTCAGCCAGCTTAATGATGCGGATCTTGCCAGCTACATTTTTCCTGTTGCAAGGCATTCTAGACTCTAGCCGCTAGCTGCGAAGTCCTTCCTCATGTCCCAGGCCCGCGGCTGGTCTACAGCATCAGAATCTGGAGCGCAGCACAGAAAGTTGCCTGGTTCAGGTTTGAGGCTGGGAGTGGGCCTTTGATCCCTGAAGTGTTCAGCTTTGTTCAGCTTTAGCTGGTTTGGGTAGCGGGCCTGGCTTTAGGTCTCTGTGAACAATGCCGCGGGAGTGCAGGTAGCCCTGAAATCACACCAGCTCTCAGCTCAGAAAATCTTTCTGAAGGCAGAGCAAGGCTTTGCAAGTCTGTGGCCGTGGCCACGCTGTTGAGCACCTGCTTCAAGATCCTCGCAATGGGACAGCTCTACACTTGGCCTCCATTTGTCAGAAGAGTTATAGCCAAGAGGCTCGAATGCTTCCTCTTCTGAGATCATCGATGCCTTCGAATGAAGTGCAAAGGGAGGGTGCCAAAGAGGCAAGGCACGCTTGAGGCAAGTACACTGAATTCGTCCTGGTTGGCTTGTAGAAGCCTGCAAAACTTGAGCGAGTTGTTTCCTGACATCCGGCTTTTCACAACCGCTGGCACTACAAGCCTCCATAAATCGCCAGCGCCACAAAGCTCCGTGACAAGGAACAAGTTCTTGTCCTGGGGCAGTGCAGATGTCTTAAGGTCAATCTAGGCGACTTCAGCTACTGGGACCTTGCAATATCTTAGGGTGCTGCATCTTCGAAGATTTCAAGCAAGCGAAGAATATTGGGATGGTCCGTGACCTTGCACACAGTACGTGCGCTCACGTCACGAAGGCAGCCTTGACAAAAAGGCCTTGTGGATGCTAATTTCATTCCGAAGCATGGTCTCATCCTGGATCTTGTCCCTGGGCTAAGCATACAGCGGGGCTTGCCGCACATCCGCAAGCTGAATTTGGTTCTGAAGCAAGCGTCTTGCACATCGCCTTCAGAGCAACGCATTGACCTCAGGAAATCTTGTCTCCAAGGAGGCAGAAAAACGGCTTTGCGCCAACAGTCTGAGTTCGGCACCGGTGCGCTTGTTTTTGGCCTCGGCATTTCGGTGTGCTGGAACTGGTTGGTGCTTCGAAGATTGTGGCAATCAGGATAACATGGACCAAAAGGAAATCATACTACCTCACGTTGTGCCATGGCCAATTTAGGTGCGGACGTGGTAGACAGTGGCTGTTGCTCCAGCACCTGGGTAACTCAGCTTCACCGCTCAGCACAAATCGTCCTCAAGTGCATCTGAGTTTGCAGCCTAGCTCCTCCCCAATTTCGTACTTCTGTGCAAGATCCTCGATTCGTGCTGAGTGTCCTACACTCTGGTGCACCATGCCCACACTGGCTCCTCTGCAGGACGGCCCTTGACAAATGTGCTCCGCAAGAAGGCGCCAACACCTTCATAGGCCGGACATAACATGCCCAAGTGCAGCGCAATAGAGTAGAAGCTCAGATTCCAGCAAGAGCTCATCTTCGCAATAAAGGATGACACTTCTGCTTCTGATTGTCCCTGTCATGGGATGTTCAGAAAACATACGGCACCGTGCTGGACAGCCACACACCATTCGAGCCTCGTATGTTGTGCAGGGGCCATTCAAAGCACGACCGGGACCTTCAAGCATTCACCAGAGCAAGTTTTACAACGAAACTTGCTATACAAGGTCTGCATTGCTGGCAGTCGCATCTGCCTGCTCGTGCTTCATCCTGCCTGCAGTGCTGGAAAGGTACAAACGCGTCAAAATCGAAGTAGCTAAACCTGCACCACCCTCAGCAAAAAGTACCTACCCTGCCAACGCCCCAAAGCGAAATGCGAAAGATCCAGGACGCAGTATGCCCTCTCTTCGCGCCTCTCTTTGCAAAGTGGCTGCGAGGCAGAGTCCTCAGAACATCAAGCATGCTGCCAGAAAGCGCTTTTCAGAAAGGACGCTGAGGTCAGCAGAGGCTGCTACGCTCCCTGCCGTACCGCTCGCAAGCCTGAAGTGACCTCGGGATGTGCAAGATTCTACGAGTCTACCTCCCACGGTCCCTGTCAAGGCAACTGCCTCGCCAGGCTGCTTGCCTGGGTGCCTGCCGATTTGCCCCCTTCTGGACTCAAAGACCCTTTTGTTCCTCCACCCGCCTTCAAGAGATGACGATTGAAACTGGCCGCAACTAGCCTGGCCTCAGCCAACGCTCCAAACGAATGCCGCACAAGCTCCAAAGTGCGTGGAGCTAACCACTGAGAGAAGTACCCCGCTTCTCGAAGCCATGTTTCAGCCTATGCGCCAGCCATCTCAGCTGATGACATGCACAGTTCTTGTGTGTTCTGTTCATGACGCGTGGGTCTGCACTAAGTCATCCTGGCATTCAGAGCCCTGTCACAATGCGGTCGTGCGAGCTTCACCCAACTCGTCTCGAGCCATACGCCACCGGTCAACGGAGTTTAACAGCGTAGGAACCTCATCTTCAGATTCAGCTGCTGGCCCCAGGTGGCCTGCGTCTGTCGACTGCTGAAGCGTCGAGTGGCTTCCAACCTTCAAGGGCAGTTGCAGCACACTCAATCCGCAAAGTGGTAAATGCAGCTGGGTCCAAAGCAGGACATCAGCCGGGTAAGCTGTTGCACCCAACACCCGCCTCAAAGCTTCAACTCAAAGTTCAAGCCTCAGAATGCTCCGAAACAAAGAAAACAGTAAGCCACAAGTAGGTGGCTGGCCACATTGGGCCGCACCTGACAATGGGCAACGGCTGCATAACTCCCAAGAAACCTCGGGCCGAACTGAGCGACAGACGGCGGCAAAGCCTTGTTTTCAATCGTAAGTCTGCAGCTTCAGCTTCAAAACGCATCCTAGCATGTTCCATGGTCATGCTCTCTTCCCTCCCGGAGTGCCTCAGAACATCTCAGAACACTGATGCATCTCACTGGCCGCCACGAGCTCTGAATAGCCCTCATGTATACTGCATCAACTCTCAATCAAGCCGGAGACGCCAACACACAATCTGCAGCGATCACCAAGTCAAAGGGTCCTCGTTCCTGCTCAGGGCAGCACAGCAATGAATGCTCAAGCAGCGTGCAAATTGCGCATACCGCACTTTTTTGCAATGCACATGCTTTTAAAAGATGCAAATCGAGGTGGGTCTAGCAGAGAAACTGCAAACGACCGGCCGGGCGGCATTTGGCGACACCGCGGTCATCATGGAGTAGGAGGAGGCAAGATGGCTGGACAATCCGCGGGCGGAAGGGACGGTTTGACAGCGTGGAGACGAAATTCTGGAAGCGAAGCGTTGCACAGGCTCACGTCCGCTTCAGGAGAAGGCATAGACCCACGGCTAGGGCAGCACCTGAGCAAAATCACATGCAAGCTGTACCGACATTAAATGCACAGGGTTGGCCTCAGTGCCTGGCCAAACACATACAGGTTCAGCGAATGCGCGGTCGGTGGCCGATGTGTTGGAATTCCAAGCGACTCTGCCAGTAGCCTTGTGTCCTGGTGTGGATGCAAGAGCTCACAAGGTATTGATAAGCCGCACAACAAGGCTTTGTCCTCGTCAGCGCACCTTGACTTCATACCCACAGTATTCAAACCTATTCAAACAACCCTTGCAAAGCCGGAAAGGTTTGGACGAGCCACCGCAGATGAAGGTCAGTTTGGTTCAACTCCTGCATCCGAAGGTGGTTGATAATCTGCTTGAAGCTTTCTGGCGGGAGGTCGAGGAAGATTCGGCCGCGGCTGTCCTGACATGCATGCTTATTGAATCTTGTTGTACCATTGTCATATCCTCCTGGACAATTTTTCGTATGTCTGCCACGATTGCAGCCAAGCTTCACGGACAAGCGTAGGGCTGGCCAAATTCTCCACCATGTTCTTAAGGAAGGAGTTCGGTGGGGAGCGATGAAGAGTGGCCAGAGACACAGCTACGAACTCACCACCCACGTTGAGCTCTTGGATAGCATCTAGGGATGGTTGCTCTGTTTCCTCAACTGCAGCAGTCTTTGGCTGCAGAATCCTAGGCTCCTTGGGCTGTTGAGCTGCCTCAGCAGCCGTCAGCTCCTCTCGCAGCACCTTCAGGACGGCGCCGATGGAGCAGTTCTTGTAATTCAGCTTGTGAAAAGTTGGCCCTACCGAGTTCATATCTACAATATGCAGATGGAGGGAGTTCACAGAGTTGTGCCCAAAGACGTGGAAGAAGAGCCCGATCTTGTCAGACCAGCCCTGCATGTTAGTCACGTATGTCACGGCGGCAGCCTTCAGATCTTCAACAAATTGTATTGCCTCAGACAGGCTTGCGACGTCTGCATCCCCTTCGTCAGTCATGCCGAGCGTGAGGGCATTGAAATATGTCCATCTCAAGTCTTTGGTGGTAAGGAACCGATGTCTCGCCGACATGGACGCCTTTCCGATCCACTCCTCTGCCTCTGAATCCCAATGGGCATCGTTCTCTGGCTTGTTCCGACAGACGCAAAACGAGTTTGCAAAGTCTTGCAAGGCTGCTTGTTCCTCTGCCATGCCTGGCCCATTTCTTACTATGAAAGCATAGTATCGGCCGATTTTTAGAAACTCCGCCAAGGAGGCCCATCTACATCTGCTCTACATACGGGAAATGCACAGATGCCGATCCGAATGTTGGTGGCCAACTATAAAACGCTTCTTGTTGTCACACGCCCTAAACCAAGCGAACAACCAACCTGCAATTTTAGCCTTACATGTTCCAACCCCAACTTCCCGACCTGGCTGCTCCATGGAGCCAGCAGCTATTCGAGCAAAGAGATTGAACGGCTTCGTTCCAGTGGTCAGTAAACCTGTAGAAGTATCAATAAAGCCTGCATAGCTGAGCTCAGCCTTCAGTGTCTTGCAGCCACTGTAATCCTCGCGAAAGATACGGCGAACTTCGCGGAAGCTACCCGAGTCACAGAGCACCGGGACGCGCTCCACGAGCTCTTCCTTCAGGCTGGTGGCACCTCCAGTGCCTCGGAATCCTCCGCTCAAAACGCAGAGGCTTTTGCTGTAGTTCCGGTCGCTGAGCACCGAAACTCGTCGTGGGATCCTGGTATCCTGTGCCTCTTCTTGGAGCACCTTTATCACAGCGTCAAAGGGACCTTAACTTATGTGGCTGGTTCTCATTTGGCAGCATGATGCAGTATGGACATAGGAAGCAACAGCAAATGAGCTACTTCAAAGGCCCCAGGGACAGTTCTTGTATGTCTGCGCCTTAGGGTCAATCAGATTCAGATGGACACCATGAAATCCTGCCACATAGGCTTTTTTGTCTTTGTGTGTTACTCACAACCAGTCCCGACCCGGCAACATGCACAGGCTGGAGATGCCACTCAAACATGCATCAGTTTTGGCCATGGGAAAAAAAGAATGTGGCTAATCCAGCCTGGAGGCAGTAAAGCTGGGTCCAGTCACCGTCAAGTCAAGAATATGGATGAACAGCGAGTTCACATTGTTGTGGCCAAAAATGTTTACAAAGAGCCCAATGTCTTTCGGATCTTTAGGCCACCCCGCGCTGTTCCTGGCATAGGCCAGCGCAGCAGATTTCATCTGTTCGGCTTCGCGAAGGGCTGCTTCAACATCACATCCCTCGCCCAGCTCCGACACCATCCCGAAAACAAGTGGATTGAACCTCAGCAAGGGAGTCAGGTCTGGGTAAAATCTGGTCCAGTGGCAGCTGGCTACATACCGTACCTGAGGCGCGCACCACTGCCAATGCAAGTCCTGAAGTGAGGAATTTCAAGCCTGCTAAATTGTCTACAAGGCTTCATGCCAGACTCCAGCTCAGGCCATGTCCTTCGTGGTAAGAAAACGATGGCGCCGGGACATTGAAGCGCGTCTGATCCACTTTGAGTCTTCCGAATCCTCAGGACCACACAGGACACACAGACCAGACATGTGCAGAGCCATCCCGACACCGTGAAGTGACCCAGGACGCAGCCGAGATTCCCAATGCAAGTCGTTCTCGGCCCGATTGCAGCAAACAAGGTACTTCCTCGCAACCGGCCCCCTTGACACAAAGTCCACCAGAGAACTGTCTGCGTCCAAGTCTCGTCTGGAAGTCTCCAAGAGCTTGCTGTTCTGGTTCCATGTTTGGCTGCTTGAGCAGCCTGAGCACGAAGGAGCAGTGAAACCAGAAAGGAACCTTGAAAGCATCCCAGGCCCTTGCCCGCTCGCAACGCGCGCGAACACGTTCAGCGGGCTGGAACCGCTCGTCAGCTCTCCTGGATTGCCCGAATGTCGACAGTTCTTTCCACCACTCTCAGTTTTGGAGTGTCCTGAGCGGTCATTGACGAAGCCCGCATTCACAAGCTCCCCGCGCAGGGCCTCACAGCCTCCCAGTTCCTGTCGCAGAAGCCGCCGAGCCTTGAGAGCTTCAACAGACATGAAATTCCTGCAGTTGTACGGCGCCCCTCTTTAGAGTAACACGTATTCAAAACAGAAACCGCAGAGCACTCTCTTTCAGCCGTGCCACCTCCCGGAAGTCCGAGACCTCGTTGATGCGCGCCTTCCGGAGCTGGATCTCCTTGTTCCAAACAGGCCATCTGTGGTCAGCAGTGTGTGGGGTGGACTTCAACCTAGATGGGAGTTGCCAATAAATTTGACAAAATCAGGAGCCCAAAGTCCTCCTTTGTACATCGTATCTTAGGTTCCTTGGGCCACCTGTTTTGAGAACCCACACATCAGTATGTCGTGGCAAGGCTCAGCCCTGATAGAGGTCGCGCCATTTCCATCCAGCCCGGAAAAGCTCATCGGAAACCGCGTGTGTGCAGTGCTTCAAGCCATCATGGCTCCAGTCAAAGCGCAAAGCAAGTGACAAAAGAAATCTTGCATCTCGACAGCTCTGTGTCCGTGCAAATGCCAGGCCTGAAGCAGCTGCGCGCATAGCTTTGTGTCCGTCCAGTCCAGGCCTGCAAAGATGGAAGGAGAGAACAAAGGAAGGCATAGGCAAAAAGCTTCACCAAAGCAGGGATTGCCCGAGCGCCCGACGCCGGAGAAAAACTTTGCCTCCGGACCGGAACCTAGCAGCTGATCAAACAGCCGGAAGCCCATGCCTACGACACATAGCGCACGCGCACCGTGAACTTTGAAGTTCTTTCCAAGTTTACAGGCATGTCAATCCTGGCCTGCCATCTGCCTCTGCCCTTGCCGAGTTTTCAGCACAAAGGGCAAGCGCGGCTGGGTCTCAGCAGCATCTGCATGTGCGCTTTTACCGTGCCACTTGAACGAGAAGCCCCCAGCTGCTGTCTGTTGCAGTGACCTTCCCAGCAAAAGCTGATTTTCTGAGGTCAGAGGAGCTATAGTCTAAACATACCCCCGTTGACAACCTCTACAGTACTCCCCTACATAATCCCAATATAACCCCTTTTAGGGAGTTTGGACTATGGCTCAGATGGTTCGTCAACACTGGCCTCAGCACCGCAGCATGCCAAGCTGAGCGCAAGAAAGCCGCAGCCAGAGCCGAGCCTCGGCGACTCAGCGACTCGGTCATGTCCCGGCATGACAGGGTAAGGGTCCATGCAGGAATGCTTTGCTTTTCTTCTTTTACCCAGCTCCCATCCATCCCGTTTCGTCATCCCAGTGTTCTGACACGAAGGTCTTCAGCACCTCTCCGCCGGCTTCGAGCACAGCCTCTGCACCCGCGCAGAACCTCAAGAGATGTCAGGAGCTTTAGATGCCTTCACTCATTGCAAACGGCACGCGCCTCTCCGATGCCAGCAATTCTAGCTCCAGGACGGGGCGCTCATTTGCAATCAGCTTCTGGGCTGTCCTGGCCGAAGGCCCTACCAACTTGCCCGGTCCACGTTCTTTTCTGGTCTCCTCCGCAGTTCCATCATCTGAGGAGATTCGGTTTCGGGCAGTGGCTTGGCTGACGCTGCGATCGAGTCCTCCAGAGCCTGCGACAAAGGATGAAGCTGCACCTCTACACCTGCTGGCGCTTGAAAATACTAAGCACCTTTTGAAGCCACTGGACCACCAAACGACGAGCTTTGAGTTCACGTGACAAGTCCACCTGCTAGGCAACATGCGACAGTCCCGTTCCACTTTCCAGCTTGCTTCGAGTGAGTCCTCATGTCATGTCCTGCCTGTAGATTGGGAACTGTCAGTGTCAAGGAGTCTGCAAATTCAGCAACTTCCTCCTCGGTCTGGCCTGCGTCAACAAGAGTACCACAAAAGCTGCAATGTGACCAACACAGCATTGAAACTCCTCCCAGGCCAAGCCACAGGATAGCAATCTGGCAACGGGCATCATGTTCCCTCCAATCTGCGCGTCCGTCGGCAATTCGATCAGCAGGTTTTCCTGAGCACATGGGAGGTCCCTTCTGCAGATCACGGGATATGATGCAATTCTGTGTACAGTGTGCACAGCTTGGGGCGCGGCGTAAGGAATGTCGGCCTGGCTCAAGGCTGCCAGCTTTGCAGATTTCACATCTGGCGGGTCATCGGCAAGGACGGCAGGGACGTCAACCTCGAGTCCACAAAGCTCGAAGAGATTCCTGGGTTGCTGTTCAGGGAACTTGAATTAAGTTACCATTATGGGTATATATAGTAGTTAATAGCGTTTTCCCAATATAGTAATTCAACTTGAATTAAGTTCCTTGACAGCAACCCAGATTCTCCTGGCCCCTGTCTTCCACGAAGCCGTAGACGGTCCAGAGGGTTGCACTTGAGTTTGGGCCGTAGAGGTGCAAGAGTTCCTCGCCTGCCTTCACAGGACCCTCGGCAAGCAGGAGTGCACCCTCCTTAACAGCTCCATGTGGCTCAAAAGAGCACTGCCAGAGCTGCACACCATCTTCAAAGAGAGTTGTAGTGTTCAGGATATCTACCAGCGGCACCAACGCAAGCTGCTCGTCCGAGTCAGGTTGAAAGGTGAAAGCCCTGGAATCCACGATCGCCAGGGCCCACCGGGCCTGATCCTCCGAAATGCCAGCTTTGACCAAGCAAGACACGTTGTGGAGGCCTGGAAAACTGCAAAGTAGGGAAGGCGGCCCAACATCCCACATATGGCTTATCCTACAGGCCCTCAAAATGTCCAGAACTTAGGTAATCTTTCACTTATCATCTTCTGCTTGGTTAGTAAAGCATCGCATCACAGCATCCCGTTTAGAACAAAAAGCTCTGTAAGGCTAGTCGGCGTGAGTTCTTGGGGCCCAGCCTATCGCATGCCCATGGGGTTGACTTATGACATCTATCCAGCCTTCCGCAAAGATCTCGTTGGCCACACGTCGGCCATGGGCACTCCCAGCCAGCAGATCGTCGATGTTCAAGTCAGCGGGCCAGAAGTAGGGATGAATTGATGGAAGCTCTTCAAGCGTAGGCAAACATCTGATGTATGGCGCGAACAAGGACTTGGATCCTAGGTCTTTCTCGTGAAGTAGTGCCTTTGCCAAGGATGCCTCTTGAGGCCAGTCTTCTTGGCGATCACAGGTTAGAATCCCTTGCTCCGGCACGAAGCACACAACTTCACCTGGCTTGAAGTCTCTCGTGGCGAAGGCTGCCAAACCTCCGCCGGCCTTGGTACTGGCATCAAACCTGATGTCCTCCACACCCTGCGTCCCAATCGACTTTAACCAGCTCCGCAGCTCTGCCAGTTGCTCAAACTTCTGGCTCACAAAGCTGCTCTTGCAGCTTGACAGCTTCTGCAGGTTCCGCTTATGCACTCTGCACAGGCATCCTGCACTAAAGCCAGCCAAAGGTGCAAGGCAACCAAGCAAATGTCCACGACCAGTATAAACGAACGTCACAGCCCAACGTCTGGCTTGCAAAGGTGCGCTCGACTTGCCAAAATGATTCTGCTGGCGGAGCCATCTCTGCGAGGGCACAGGCAGACCCTGCATTTATCACGGCACATCTGCGAAAAGGAGGACCCCTCGAAATTAAAACAATCCTCAACACCGCATGATAGACAAGGTGCACATCGTCTGTAGCATCTCTTCGCCAACTGATCGACCCTATGCAGCAAAAAGCATCGAATTGGGCCCGAGAAGAGGAAGCTCACTCAAAGTGACGGCCAACCACAGAGACTTCAGGCACCACCTAAAAACTTGGGATCGGTGCTCCAACACACGCTGGCCACTCCAGCGTCCGTCGGTGTCCTGCGGCAAACACAAGTCCAGGAATTAATGTTGACGGCATCACTTGCTGGCTCGCGCCTGTAGGTGCCGTGGTCTTCCCCTATGACTAAGGTACGAAAGGAGGTCGTCGGCCTGGAAAGTGTCAAGCAGATCAAACCAGGCTCCCATGCTGCTTTGTGACATGTTGTAAGCGTGAGAGAGGGACAGCTGGCCACTTTCGAACACCGCATCCTGGGCATGGACTTGCAAGGTGGCAAAACTTTTATGGCCAGCATGGATCAGCATGGGGCACGCACCGTCTGAGAAAATCTGGCATCCTTCCCAAAGATGGAGTCTCACTTCTCCATCCTGAAGCCATTCTCGACCAGCATCTTTGCAGGTCCGATGACATGTCTCACATTGCCATGCTATTGAGTTGCGCCTCAGTGTGTATCTCGTACTGCTGCAACCTAGGCTATCAAATCGGAGGCACGGCGGAGTAGAGCATTACTCTAAGAGATTCCGGACAATGGCACCAACAAGGCCAAGCTGCTCTTTCCATGTGGGCAAGTGATGTTCGTAGCTGCAGGCTACTGCACCTCCTCGATGCCGTTTCCTGCCATGTCAACGCAACTGAAAGCTTCTGACAAAAAATGAAATTCCACTGCAGAGCAAGGAGAAAATTGAACATCTGAAGCTCGCAAGCTGACGCAGCCTTCAACTTTGAAAGAAAGATACTTTCCATGCTAGCAGTTACTAGCAGCTACTAGCACAACCCCGCCCCCCCCAACCCGGCAAATCTTCTGCACAAATCCAGGTCCGAGGGCAAAACTGATTTGAGATGGTGAGTGCTTTTGACATTGAATTGAGCATCGTGCAAAGCATGTTCAACAAGCTTAGATGGATACATGCGAAACTCATCGAGAACTTTGGTCTGTCCTTATCAAACTCTCCAAATAAGATGTGTACTGGTTTACGCTCGTGCACTGACCACAAGAAGTTCTGTGAAGCAGGCGTAGGCTGGGCCCCCGGAAAGCGGTCCGGCGGAATTCGGCCTCTCCTCTTGCCATACGCATTGACGATCAGAAAGATCAGAAAACTATTCAAGCCACACTGATGTAGGATCGTTGCTTCGGGTGTCCAAGACGAACTTTGTCATAAAGCGCACTGAAAATTCTGAGGCCCGTAAAGCCATCTCAGCACAAAACGAAAGACACACATCTTCTTGCAACATACCAAGAAGCGTGCGAGGTGGCAAACATCGTGATACAGCAGGGTTTCCAAGAGTTGGGGGTGCCTTGTGTAGTTAAATGGTAACTGCTTCTGTTTTGTGGGTACAAGGCGGCCCATATTTTGGAAATACTCACACTTGGCCTGGAAGTTGAGACCTTCGCTGAAACAGCGGAGGCGAGGACAACTCCAGCCCTGGCTGAAAGGCCTCCAGGAGTTTAGGGTGTATGCTCTGATCACTTAATGCAAGCCTGCACCATTCGGATGGTTACAATCTTCCCGCCGACTGATGGGTTGAGAAATTGCTAAATCTTCGAAACATCTGTATGTATAAATTTATATATATACATATATATAGATCGCCTCAGTATGTGGCAATTGCATTCGCGTACGCTTCAAAGTCTCAGGTTCAGACCATTCCACATCAGAGGACTGAGCGCTATCGGAGCATGATGCAAGGTATGAAATGCATTAACTGCTTGGTGCTCCCATGGTCTTCACCAGACGATACTGTAGGTACAAAGCGGTACCCTAAGTTTGACAAATACTTATGTTGTCTTCACTGGGTTCATGAGCCAGCTGTTGCAGAAGGTGCAGATACTCGACGAGAATTCGTACAACTGTCAGGGAAAGAGCTGTGGATGCAAATGTTGCAACTGCTTCATTTGCTGAGCAAGTCTGCGAAAATCATTATGTACAGAAGGCCCAGGACGTCCGAGAGCACGGCGCCAGAACTGCAGACGTGTTCTACCACTCTGCGGTGCAACTTGGCACGACCGCGTAGCAGAAGCTGATCATCCCTTTGACAGAATGAACTTTGGGGGGAACTTGGCAATGTATCTTCAACATCGCATCGTATAACAAGAGGCACCACTTCTGCACTGCAGAGGGACTATTCGACAGGGCCAGGTTCGCCGCTCAGAACAAGTTGCCTTGGCAAGCTATCAAAGGCAAGCCCAACCAAGTTGCAGAGGATATCGCGGAACAAGGGGGGCAAAGACCATAAGCACCAAGACATTCGAGGGACAGCTTTGCCGCGGTTACCTGAGCAGCCTCGCCTCTTTGCAGGGGAGTGTAAGAAGCCAATGTCGACAGCACAACGATTGCGTTGTTCAAAGGAATCACTTGTGGTCTTGAGTCCACACAGGGTGGACAGATGCTCTGCCTGCTCCCAGCCCAAAGTCTCATGTTTGTCAAGTCTCGCATGGACATCCTTACTTTGCCTGAACTTCTACTGTACTGTTCAGGAGCTCGCGCTACTCTAGGGTGCGGAGAAGAGATCAACAGGACGAAACTGACTTCAGAATCGAAGTATGAAAACTTGAGCATATCTCGCATGAGGAAGCTCAAGTTGATGTCACCAGCAAAGGCGTATGAAGAAGCTCATGTGACACCGGGCACCAGGCTGTTGAAACCCAGCGGCAGGTCAGATCCAGATGATTCGGCATCTGAATCCTGGAATTACGGACAGTGCAAGCATGTCAGCCTTCTTTGAAGAATTGTCAGAGTTCATGTGGCTCTCCTCTTCTGGTGCGCTTGCCGCCTTGCCAGAACCCAGCCACAAACAACGCAACTTCCGATAAAGGGCTGAAGGTGTGAGAGGGATGTAATGTCTGTTGACAAGGCGTAGGCAACAGCTGTTGTCAATATGTCTTCTATCATCTATCCATTTCATCTCGTTTTATCCCACTTCATCCATGTTGCGTGCAGCCGCTGCAGCTTGGCACACCCTAAATGTATTGAATTTGTTGAATGCAAGCGAAGCGCCTTGGCCTTGGCTTTGGCCTTGCTGGCCTCCGCCATCTGGCGCTGGCGCTCCTGCAAGCGGGTAGGAGACAGGGATGCGACATTTGAACTCCCAGGTTTTTGGGACCTGTCCTCCTCAGCACGACGGGCAGCAACTCTGCGTAGCCGCTCGGCTTCTTTGGCCTAGGCCGCTGCGATTTTTGACCGGCAAATGACACGAGCGCCCTGGGGACCCAACGGCTTCCTCCTCCTTGCGTTTTCGCTCCTGGCTTCATTACAGATTTTCCCCTGACTGTGGTGGATGCACCTGCGGTCCTCCTCCGCAATGCGGTCGGCCACGCGATCTTCCTGAATCACGGATGCAAAAACATCGCCAGGACACCTGGGTTTGCAACCCATCCTCCAACTTGGCTTCCTCTTTCTTCTTTTCCTCCTGAAGATTCCCAACGAAGTAAATTGCAAGTTCCCCCACGGCCCTTCACACAGCCACTTCGCATCAACGCTGCGCGCCTCGCGCTCTTTTGCCAAAGCCTCCTTCTCGACGCGGCGGCGCCTTGGGCGAAGCTGCAGACAAGGACTAGAATGCAAGCACCTGTAAGCACAAGTTCTGAGTGTGCTGCTCAGCTTGCTCTTTCTGCTCCGCAACTTTGCGGGCTTTCGCCTCACGAGAAATTCAGCCACTGGTTCTGAGTCCAGGGAGACCACGCTTCACACAGCGTAAGCCATGCCATCCGAAGCCTCCGCCCGCGCAGCCTTGGCCTCTTTGGACGCTTCTCGCCGGCGTAGCTCTTCAGCTGCCTTCTCTTCTGCAAGGCGTTCCTGCATCAGACCCAATGCTGTCGCAAGTCAACACTGCTCAGCAAGATGTGACCATTCCGGTCAGCCTTCTCCGCTCTTCTAGCTGCGTCTCGTGTGGCTTTCCTGGCATCCGGTTCTATGTTGTGCCAGCATTGCCAGCTTGCACTTCCTTTCAGTCTAGCCGGTTGTACTCTTCTGCACGCTTCTGGACTTGCTCTGCCTCAAGACTGCCGGCTTCCAGGGCCAACTACCCAAAAATGGTCATCAGGCCCCTGCATACTCACTCGTAGCATGAGCCATTTGTCTGAGGACCTCAGAGATCTACATGCTTTGCAACAAGGCTTTCCCCACATGCTTCTAGGGCCAACACCCACCGTCGCCGAAGCCTAGCGAGGCACCAACTGCGAGCTGCCCGATGTGTTGAGTCTCATGTCAGACATGCTAAGAGCACTAAGGGCAAGGCTCTTCAGCAATCTTTACTATTTCCTTGAACTGCTGGTGCACGCCATCGACGCTGTGCAGTGCCACAATGCTTAAGCGGATATTCTTGCCCATCGCCTTGCCAATTCTGTTACGGCTCAGCGCGAAGATGACGGGCACTTCGTTTTCCCGCGCCATCTCGATAACATCCTCCACGGTGTCATCAAGGCCTCCCTCGGCTGTGGAGACTTCTAGGTTGGGCGCGACAATGAGACCTTTGCATTTGTTTCTGGTGATAGCTCTCTTGGCCTCTCGCAAGCCCACGCAAAATCGCTTGAGCTTCGCGTATTTCATGGCATTTTGCTCCTTCGCTCGTTCTTGAAATCGTACAAGCTCGGAGAGGACAAACTTCACCTTCTCATCTAAGTCATCGCTCACCTCTTGGTGAACGTAGTGCCGGACCTCCAGGTTGGCTGCAGGCTTCGCCGCCTGCTTTGTGGGTTGGCTTTTCTCCTGTATGTTGCGCAAGCGCTCCAGTGTCTCGCTGATAGACATCCGTTCCACCTCAGCCTCCGAACCATCCGAAGGCAACTCAATGCCCTCGAGCGCTGCCAGCAAGTCAGTCTCAGCTGCCTCATCTTCGGCATCTTTGACATCTTCAGAGACAGGCTGTGCTGTTGGCTCCGCCGGCTCTGCCAATTCAGGCGGTTGAGTCTCAAGCTTGAGCTTAGGCGGCTCAGGTTGAAGATGAACTGTCTCTCCAGGTTGGCCTGGCCGGGAAGCAACGGGACCTGCAGGGAGAGGACCGGTTCGGCCAGAAGCCGCCGGCACAGGCAACGAGGACGCCACAGGTAGCGCGGACGCGGCGCTTGCAACATCTTCGGTTTGGGGCTGCATCCACTCTGCCGGAAGAAAGGCCGGAGCATCGGCACTCAGACGGCTGGGCATGCTGGCCTCAGGCTGCTCCGTGCCATCCTGACGAAACTCACGGTCCTCCAGAATTGTCTTTTTAAGTTTGCTCATGCGCTTCTTCTTGGATACCAGGCGCTGTTTCCCAATGCGAAGGTTGCTTAAGTCCATGGAAGACTGCTCCAGGATCGCCTTGCTTACAGCCCCTGCTCGGATGTCCCGCGGCCGCGAATCCGCCATGTTTTCGAGCTCGCGTCCACAGATTTGACAGGTCTATTTTGACGTCTGCCTCCTCCTGCCCGTTACCTGGAAATCCCGGTCGGAGGGGAAACTGGCATCAGGCTCTGAAACAGACAAACAATCAACAGACGATCATCTTTATGTCAGATCCTTTTGTATGCTAGACAGGAGTGACTAGAACGAAGCAGTTGTAGCTTTTCAAGTGCTGGAGCACCCGTGTGGTTGGTGCAAGCTTGCAACTGCTTGGCCTCAAGTGCACAAAGCATCAGATTTGAGCCCGATGCGCAGGCTGCTTGCCGCTGAACAGTCAGAACAATACAATACATGCATATCATCTGCAGAAAAAACTTTCTAGTCGAAGAACACAAGAATTCTTCTCCGGCACGGCAACTCGGCTTCACCATTGCAATGTTTTGTCACAGGCAGTGGTCTCATCATCTCACTTGCAGCATGCTCCATCTTGGCCTCACTCGGCAGAAATCTCCACAAATCAAGAATCCTAAGGCTTCAAAGTACGAATGGCAGCAGCTTTTTTGGTCATCGGCAGCACTTGTGGCGTGAACATTCGTCGCTTTCACTGCAGCACTTCTTGACTTCGCTGGCCACGCACTGCGACGGGCCTTATGACAAAAACGCCATTTGCGCCATTTAAGTTACCATGCAATGGGTCGCCTTAGGCCCCAACGTTCTGGATTGTTGATGCAAGGCTGGCGGCAAGAGGATGGAGATAGATCATCGGCGACGTAGTAAGTCGCGCAGTTGTAGTACATTTCCTTTCATGGGTCCACTGCAAAGCTCAGCCACACACCAAGGAGCTTGGACAAGTAGCCGAGCGTCTCCAAACTTCTTCACATTCGCGCAGTCGTTGCCATCTATCCTTTGTGCTCCTCAGGACTTTCGGATCAGCTCAACACAGGTGACCTCATCCTTTTTTGGGTCTTTGAACCCGCGGTGAAAGACTGGTGAAAGACACAGCAGAAGATCTTCAACCCTGAAGCTGCAGAAGAGCGTGCAAAGGAAGTGATAGTTTTGAACCCAAGTGCCTTTCCGCCATGGGTCTGCCACATCTGCCCTCAGGTGCACACGGAATACCATGAGAGCCGTGGAAAGAACTGCGTGCCAGCCAAAGGGCTCCAAAGAGCCTTGGATATCAGGAGCATCATGCGTGATCTGCCAGCACTCTGTTTGCTGGCGAGATGCTAGCTGAAACGTCTGAGAAACCCAAAGTCATCTCGCTGTCCTGTGCTTCAACACTACGGTCTGATAAGCGAGAGCTGAAGGAGTAGATCCAACTTAGCCATGCTTCACGACTTGCTGCTTAGCTTATCACTAATTTGCTTCAGCAGTGCGAAGGGCCCTCCCACCCAAGCAATATAATTGTTACATCCAACTGCAGGTTTCAAGGCCCCATGCTGCGAGGATGGAGGGAGTACTGCCAACATCAAACTTGCAAAGCAGGTGTTGGAAACTCAGTAGCAGGCAGAACTGGTTTGGTGCAGTGCTGCGACATGTCTGATGCTACGACTGGTCATTGTGTACAGTGCTCTACAAGATGCAACAAAATTGATGGGACTGAAAGACGGTGGTGGAACGCCGAGGTTCCTTGTTCGAGTGGAATAGAGCCCTTCATGCGCATCTGGAACCCCAAACCTAAGGCGACAAACATTACATTAGAGGTACGAAGATAAAATGATAGAACCCAGCCAGGACTGGCTCATGGTGGGGCTTCTTCATGCACACACTTGCAAGGAGATGCAGGGAGAGTGCTGCAAAGGCTCAAAGCTTCTGCCTGCTGCGGTATAGAAGTTCCACACACTCCAGACAAGAAGAGTCCATCTCATACCTGAGCTCTGGGCCAAAATGATTAAATCCAGGACACATAGGCAACGACACGCACGGCACATCATAATTTTGATGCTAATCCAAGCAACCCAGGGCAATTTCTGCCGAGCCCTTTTGCAAGCCAGCCTGCGAGTTCAAACCGTTGGCTAAGTCCTGCCATCTTCTTCAGGCATGCATCCAAGCCGCCAAGCGAAAGCCAAATGACTGGAGGGGGCCTGCTACAAAGAAACGAAGGCAAGCTGCAGCCGAAACAGCTGCAAAAAGTATCAAACCAACACCTCCTGAGAAATTCAGATGGACTGGGAAAGTGCCATGCCTTCCATTGAGCTCCAGGGGCCCGGCCACTTGCGACTCAAGGTATTCCACTAGACGATCCTGAACATTACTTCATTTTCTGGATACAGCACGCAAGCGGCATGTGCACAGATAGAAAAAACAGCATCATTTCAATCTCCTTTCTGGTTTGCGGCCCAAGAGCCTTCTCACAAGTTCGAGTCCCGTAGGCGCACGCGGAAAGACATTGGTAAGCTATGATGCACGGCATCCTGCGCGAGTCTCTCCAGCGTGTTGCTCCGCAAGGCGCAGCTTCACGAGGTTCTGGACTTCTGTTTCGACAGGTTCTGGAGGTGCTCTGCACAGCAACGTTACGACTGAGTGTCGGAGGTGACGAACTGGCGTCTACAGCGTTGACACTCCTCTGCTTCCGCACCATGCGTGTAAGCATAGAGGTCTGCCGCTCGCTCCCACGAATCGCGCGCAGCCTCTGAATGGTCTGGCCCCAAAGCCTGCCATGAGCGGGCTGCAAGCTCTGCGAATTTGGCATACAGGGGGTGGAGGCCACCTCCAAGGCGTTCATGAGCGGCCTCCAGCTGCTCTAGAATTTCGAGGCGTTGCTCAGCAGAAACTAGTTGCAAGTTGCCAAGGTACATGTGAAAGACTTTGTAATGGTATGGATGGAGGTAAGGAGTGCATCTGTCACAAAGCCGCTCGCAAGACTCAGCATCTCGAAAAACCTGCAGTTGCTCCTCATCTTCAACGCGATGGGCACACTCTTCACATACCAGGACGCAGAAGTCGCCTCTGGATCGGCATGGATTTGGTGGACAGCAAGGAGCGCCGCACTCTGGGCACACAAACGCTGTCGCCACCTCAATTTCCTCTCCTGCGCAGCGTGAGCAGCCACAGCCGAAATTGAAGCTTTGTTGCAGAAGCTCCTGTCGATGCCATGTTGGATAATACTCTGGTACGTATGCCAGGGACACGATGTCTCCCTTTTCAAGATCGGTGAGAGCTCGGATCACGAGCTTGTGACTGTTCTCTTGAACATGCTTGAAAGCCGAGGGCCGGCAGCTGTGCTCAGCCAGACTTCCCATGGAGAACACTGCAGCACGCTTGTCATCTGTTTCATGCGAGTTTGCCGCAAGCTTGGAGAAGATGTCCAGAAGCTCATTGAACTCCAAGCAACTTGCGTGCTCTTCCCGAAGCGAACTGTGGAGCTGGCTCACAGTCTTCCTCCACTGCTCTGGGTGACCCCGCAGTTGCGACAACTGCAAGAGGACTGAAGCTTTGGATCCAGACACGATTTCTGCCAATACTGATATGAACAGCTGAGTGACAAGTGGCTGCTCAGCTGTCTTGGTGGAAGTTGTTGTGAACAACTGCTCAGCTAGCCGATGCATAACATCCGCCGAAGCTGAAACGAAAAGAGGCTCCTCGATAAGCAGTGTTTCCCCTGCAGGAACAGCCTCGGACACTTCCAAATAGCGCCCGACAGCGATTCGCTCCAGGACTCTCACTCGACATAGCATTGCTGTGACTGTTGGCTATTTCTGTTGAAGGTACAGGGCTGCATGCTATGCAGATGATGCAGAATCAATGTAGCGTGCCTGAAGCTAGCATCCCCAGGCTGAAGCGCCCTGAGCTTGGAACTGGAAAGTTCAGAGTGCCAGCGTCAATCACGTGAAAGGCTTTGGAAAACATTGGCACTGCAAGACAAATGAGAAGCCCGCAAAAAGTTGCAATCCAAGGAGATTTCAATGACTTCCGCGCCAGCACCGGAAAAACGAACAACATCACATATTCCCTGCCTCCACCTCTCTTCTCATTCAAACAATTCCATTCAAACATGTCACACTCCGACGTGATGAAGAGTTGATCGACCACAATAGAGCGCCAGCTATCAAGATTTTAGTGCGATTCAGTGGCAGGGGTATGGGTTGCAAAGATCCATGAACAGCAATATACAACTTGTAAATTCCTTTCCAAATCTCAGCTGCCTACGGCCCAGTCTTTCAGAGGATCCGCGATCGGAGCTTTCGAAATATTAACTGCAGACTGCCGATTGAAACAAGAAGATCTGAACAGTCTGCGGAGGTTCGCAGAAGTCAGACAAGAATTGTCCTGGCATGGCGATACCCCGCGCAGCAATCCACCTCGCGGTTCGAGAAGACATCTTCTAGAAATGATTCGCGTCACGATTTTGCCAGAAATTCAAGCGTAAAGTCTAACATGGATCGTTAATTTTGCATTGGAGCTTCCCAGTCTCTGCTTATGCCATTCGTCTGGTTTGACTTTTCGTTTAGGCACACACGGAAACGGTGGATTCCTGTACTGAGCTTCTGCCAAGTGCTAGGAGAGCAGATTTCGAACTTGGGCTGCCAGGAGGTGACGTTCATGGCTCCATAGCAACCCTGACCACGCGTGCAGTCGCTTGTCGCATTGACCACCATCTATCAGCAATCTGAAGTCACTCTTCAGCCCTGGCCTCAGCCCGGAAAGTCGAATGCCATTCGGAGCCAACGGAAGCCCATGATGGATCTCTCTTTTATGAGCGGAAGTCGCAAGATTCGATGGCCTTCTCCTGAAGGGGGGTTCCGGCAGCAGCCGTACTTATAACATGGGGAACGTTGGAGTAATGTCTGCAGACGGCGATCAGACATTGCAACAATGGACATTTCTTGTAGAAATTGATCTCAAGCACAGCCGCTCTTTTGAAGTACCGCTTCAACCATGCAGCACTCGTGTTTTGCACCCGCACGTGATCACAAGACTCCTCTAGAACGCTGCTCGTAGAGCAGTCTGGCAATCAGCACACGACCGCTGCCATGCATGGACACCATAGGCTCGCCATGGGCTGAAGAGCGGCTCCACGCCACCAGCTTATCAAGATCATTTGGGTGGTCTCTAGTCCATGTCCTCCAAGCTCAGGTGCAGCTTCATCACACAGGAAGTCCACCTTTCCAGACTTCTGCATACCGCTCTGAGCAGATGTAATGCAGTGGAAATTCCATGTTCGTGGCCACATTTACTATCACAGGAAGAATTCCTGCCTGATTGCAACATCGGGCTCAACGGCTGATACTGCAAGTCCTGTCAAACATGAGAATTGCCACCGCTCAAATAAACCCACAAGGTGTCCCACTTGATTATACATGCAAAGCATGTGCTCAGCCGTCTTGGGTCTATAGGCAGCTTTTCCCAGAGCCTGCAAGCACTGCTCCAAGTTCTTCACGAAGGATCGGCACCAGGCAGTTGAGAAATTACTCTCATTAATGTTCAGGTTGATCCACCTGACATGTCGTATCAATGAAATTTCACTGCCCGCACATGCTCGACACTGAAACAGCAAGCTACAAATGCTACTGGCACACATGCGAGTAAACCCGGGCGCCGGGCCATGCATCTGGAGCCTGCACATGCTGCAGCAAGATACAACCAACAATTGTGGGTGGAAGCCCAGCCTCTTGCTCCAACGTTATCCGCATTGGCCGGTGTGCAGCCTTGTACGCCCTGGCAGGATCAGGCTCTCAAAATTGCCAGCAAGTAGCTCAGGAACCTGCGCCGATCAGGTTGTGAACGTCGCAGACCACCATACCTATCACCAGATGCCACGACCCGCTTGGTCGCGCTCACATGAAGCCCCTACTGCCGCCACAAATCTGAGGTGTCCACTCATGGGCCCGTGTCTGTTGGAAATGCTGCCCGCCTCGTGCCTGGCCAGCTGACATTGAATGCACTAGCACAGAAACATGTTCAGTGCCAAGAGCCTGCTCATCTAGGGGAAGGATGTTCACCAAAATGTTGTTCGAGTTGTGAACCGGATCAAACATCTTCCACCTGGAACGTCTAGCAGCAAACTGAAGGATGGCTATCTCTCTTGCTGAGGTATTAATTCCTGACGCTGCCTGGTTGTTTTTGTTTAACGCTGGCTTTTTTTGGACACATCCCACATGTGCAGCTCACAAGCTGGAGGGTCAGGGATGAAAATGGCCTGTGGAGGAATTCAAAACGTTCATGCAGGGGTCAAGAAAAACATAGGGGTTGCAGGACTATCTCTACGCGCACGCTGCAGAAAGCCACGACTTATGTGCCTGGCCTCCGGAAGCGTATGAGATCTGCAACCTCCAAACAGAATCCCAACCTTGGGCGAGAGAGGACAGCTACAAACTTTCAATCTTGCCTACTCAAAAGGGCACGGCAGGCTGACCAGTGAGCTGCACGCAACAGTCAAATCCTCAGGACTCACAACAACAAGCATTCCCACGCCCAACAGTCAGGCTGAGGCAAAGGACCCTCCAATCACTGAAGAGTCCCACCATGGCATCGTTCATGTTTCCATCTCGCCTGATGACGCAAGCCTCTTTCCTCCTTCCTCCTTCGAGTGCACACTGGGCTCTGAGGGAGGGACATAGGGGCATACAGCGTCAAAGGAAGGGAAAGCTCTGTCTTGGAAGCTTCAAAGTCCTGAGGACATCTGCAGCAAAAATGCGACTTGTCTGAGGCGCGCCAGAGCTGCGGTTAAGTCCTCCGGCTTCACGCCTTTGTAGAAAGATCTGACCAGGTACAACACAAGGAAACACTTCTCAGTGCAGAGACCAGGGAAGCCAAAGAGAATGCGGCACATCTTGAAGTGTGATCAGCCGCGCATATGTTCTAGTCACTGACATTCCGCACGGCATACATCAAAGAGCTGTGTGCATTGTCAGGAACCACGCGAAATGAAAACGCAAGCTTAGAAGCAACATAGTGCACTGAAATGACACATTCGCGTCATCTTAAAAAGAATCGAAGGAAAAGCGGAGCCATGTCTGGAGCTGCATGAAGGCCGTGCCCGTGCCTCAGTTTCTCCTGAGCCCATGTTGCTTTGAAGCTGGCAGCCAGCACCATGGAGAGCAGCACCACGTCGAACGGAATCCCGTACCTCTTCTTCAACTGTCCATGGAATTCTGGCTACACTTAGTTCCAGGCGCACGATTTGGCATTGCGGTGAAGAGCTTCCACTGCCGCTCCCTCCAGAAGCACCTGCACTGGTTCGATGCACCTTGTCGTTCGCGTTGACATTTCTCTTGGCCTCGTGGTCATAGACCCAGGGTTGACGCTTTGGAGTTTCATCGAAGATGCCCGCCCGAAGGGAGAGCTGCTCCTGGTGCTGCGCGATGCCGGGGTAAGGTTGGGCAATGCTCGATAAAAGTTGAAGGTAACGCCTACTACTTCTATACAATGACTATCTATGACTATTACTCCTATCATTCCGACTGATCATTAAGCACAGCAGTCAGGGCTCCGGATGACTGAAGGATGGCTCGAGGTCCACAGCCGCAAAGAGCCTCGACTCCAGTACCTGGTGCAAGGAAGGTGTGCTGAACCAGTGAGATGACGAGCGGTTGTATAGGGATTGTATGGGGGTTATATAGGGGATTAGGAAGGGGTTCTATATGGGTTATATGTGGGATTACATCAGGATTGTATAGAGGTTATATAGGGGATTACATTGGGGTTGCAGAGGGGTCATATAGGGGGTTATATAACAAGGATTGTAGGGGTGGAGGAGAGAGAGACAGGGAGAGAGAGAGAGAGAGAGAGAGAGACAAAAAGAAAGAAACAAAAAAGAAGAAAGAAACCGAGAAGACACGGCAAGGAGAGAAGAGTGAGCAACATCACAAAACGGAAGCAACAGGAGGATATGCAAGCACGGGTATAATTGGAGACACTGCAGCGAAAACGTGTGAGGCACAGGTCCAACCGGCCGCACGTGATCGCACAGAGAGAGCACTGCCGCCGAGCACAGAGACACAAAGCAACAGGCGATTACAGCAGGCCAGCAAAAGCCGCAGCGCCGGGAACAGGCACCGAACAGCGGCGGCCGGCAGAGGGGAAGGAAGGGGAGGTAGGGCGGCACAGCAGAGTACATCCGACCACGAACCGTTGCTGGCCCCCAGATGCACCGGAAATTGGACACGCACAGCTGGCTGGGTTACGCTACTACTATGCATGTAAAGCAAAGATCTAAATGGCCACACAGACGAGGCCAATAGCACACAAAGCAGCGCTCCAAACCTAGGATGAAACAGCACTCCCAGAATGAAGCAACCCCAAAGTCACAGAGTCACGCCCAGAAACCAGCAGGGATGCAGGAATGAGGGAAGTGTACGGAGCCCATAGAGCACAAAGCCACGCTGAGAAGAGAGCCGGAGCGGAGGAGAGCGGTCAATGCTGCACTTGCCAGTGCTCAGCAAGCAAAACCTGTGTAGATGGCAAGGCTGCGCAGAGAACATCGCAGAAGGCAGGACAGCACAAGGACAGGGAGGCTGGGGTGCTCCTTGGGTCAAGAGGCCCTTAGTGCTGCTGCCAGGGTTCACGACTTTTGAAAGGGATCCAGGCCCCATTCAAACGCTAGATTGGGGGGGTAAGGTTTACATATAGGGATGAAGAGAAGGTACATGGAAACTCCCCTAGATTAACCCCTGGGCTGACCTCAAAAGCTGCTCCGGCAGGTAAGGGAACCAAGGAAGTCCCTAAATCGGACCTCAGACTCACAAGGACTGTTGGTCGCACGAAGCCATCGTGGTTTCCTCAGAACATCTCAGAACTGTGCCTGCTCTGGCCTGCTTTCGACTGCATACCACGGAGCCTCTCCTGGCATGTAATCAGTGTACTCGTTGCAACGAGAAAAAACACTTGAGACAAAAAGTGCCATCAACCTCCTCTTGCGCGTAGAGAGATGCGAAGTCTTGTACCATGGGCACGCTGCAGAAGCCGTCCTTGAGGAGCTAGGGTGCAAGCGCTGTCTTTGTTTTCAGCTATTCTTGCATCCGACTGGCAGAGTAGGCATGGGAGACCACGAACTGAAGAAAGCTACTGGGTGCCCCCCAGTCCTGCGGCAGTACCAAGCAACGAACCTGCCATAACTGAACAGCAAAAGCGCTTGCAAAACTCTGCTAGGTCCTCCGGGCGCCCGTTGGGCGCGCCGTCTGCAGGCTTTGCATCCCCCTTCAGGAGGAAGAGAGCCAGAGTAAACGGGGGCTCCCACTCTTGCTTTAGCCGGCGCGATGCTTGCTCAACATCTCGCCAGGATTTACAATGCTCCACCCAGACTCTGTCTTCCAAGAAGTCAGCCGTGACACGTTGAGGTACCGAGCGAGGCCAACTCTTTTTGAGGGCAGCCGACACAAGTCTCCTGCAACCACGCACAAGGGGCATGTAAGGCCCGGCAGCAGCAAGCTTCTCAAGCTCTTGCCAAAGGATGATATGGAGAGGAACCACATCCCGCATGAAACGCAGGAGCTCCATGCCTGCCGCATCCTCAAAGTCTGCTCTCAAGCCTTCATGGCGCGCAATGAGCTGCGCGGCAGCACGCCTAAAGCACCTCTCATCGAGCAGGCCACGGCAACCGTAGAGCCATTTACAGGTGCTCTTCACCTGCCCTGGTGCAAACCATATGGCCCTAGCAACACCCGTGTCTCCAAGAGATTCAGGCTCTGCTTCGACCACCTCCGAACCTGTGTCTGCCTCGACCATGCTCAGAAGGTCTCTGACCGTGGTACACTGAAAAACCTCTTGAGGCCGGAGGCTCAGGCTTGGAACAGCCAGGCGAAGCTGACGGCAAAGGGTGAGCACCGCTAATGAATCGATGCCAGACAAACGACTCTCACCGTGAAGATTACTGCGCAACAGAGGCTGCAAGAGCTGGAGGAGAACTGTTCCGGCCACAGATGTGGACTGAAGCCTCTCCGTGCTATCAGGCCCACTCACGTCTGTGCTGTCTGCCACCTCACTGGGCTCATCCGAAGGTGCTGGGCCCGAATCCATGATGTCCCGTGTGTGGAACTCCCACCACCTGTTGTCAAAGTCGTTGAAGCAAGGCTTGCAGTAAAACAGATCCTCCTCCTGCCGCCAATCTGAGCCCCATGGCAGAGGACACTTGCAGTCTGCACAAGTCCATTCGGGCTCAGAATCACTGCCAACTGCGCTTTCCTGCATCGTGACAGGTTTGGAAGGCTCGTCTTCAGGCAGAGTTCCCCCCTCACCAGCACCATGCTCAGATGCGACTTCTTTGCTCGAGGCTATCGGGACCTCTTCATTCCCAGAAGCCTGGGGAGGTGTTGGTTCGGGCACATCGGGCTGCGCCGTCGCCAGGGTGGTCAAGCTGGTGCCTGCACAGGGGGATTTCATAGCCTCAGAGCCGGTTGCTGCACCGTCATCATGCCCTTGCAGAGTGCTGCTCTTGACATCGCAGTCCTGCCAGAAGCAATTCGCCATGATGGCATGGCATGAGGGAACTGAACCACGCCCCTCCTGATGTACAAGGTCAAAGGCCAAAGGTTCGACATCAACCACGGCTGCCGCGGAAGCGTCGGATTCCTCCGGCACCTGCGGAGGGGCTGGCAGTGACAAGCAATTGAAGGATCAAAGAGCCTCGTGCAGCCAGAAAGAACAGGATAGGGCAGAGTCGTACTTCGGTCCAGTTCCGCGAAGCAAGCATGTTCAACATGAAGTTGGAGTCAGAGGCGGTTACATCACATGCAAGATGGGAGAGGATCAGGCTTAGCCAGGGCTTCGCACATTTTTCAAAGTAACACCAACAGACAGCATCATCGAGCCCATGAATCATGGAGTTGCGTGGAATGAGCTAGGATTGTCTCCATCATCCAGGCCTGTGGTTCATCAGCGCTCACATCGGTCAGATGTTCGCTGCAAATGCCTGGAGCAAATTGCAAAACGGAGATAGAAGTAGCATAACGCCATGCGGAGTAATTGTTCTCGGCGTACCTTGAAGCTCTCGCAGCTCTTCTGGCCGCTCATAGGGCAGACTTTCATGTTGCAGGCCTTATAGCTGAGACGGCTGGCTTCCACATCAATTCCAGATGCACGTGATAGCGCGGGCCAATGTTCGCTCTGGGGTCTGTGCCCTCCCTCAGTTGCCGCGTCATATGCGGCAGCGAGCATAGGAACTGCCAGGACATGAGGGAAGGGCAAAGTCCTTCCAGGGATGACGTGGTTGCCATGGCCTCCACAATGTTGTCTGCTAGCGCGTGGCTCCTTCCAGGAGTGCTTCTGTTGACCTTCCTCCATGAAGAGTCCAAATGCAACTTAGCCTGCTTCGTACATCAACGAGCGCCTCCCAAAGTGTCTCCTAAGCGCAGAAGATCTGTAGCCTCTGAAGCTGTGAACCTCTGCCGGAGCTCAGCCTCAGGCAAAGTACATTCGCCAGTTGCCGCTTTTCAGCCACCATCCGCACTCTGCCTGAGCAGCAACTCAACTGCGCCGCAGAGGTTCTAAGCGGCCAGGCCTCTGCAATCTCTGGAATGGCCAGCCAGAAGGTCAGCCACCAGGGCAGAAGACGCCCACGCCTGGCATGAGAAAAGCTCACATTTCCATGCACTTCTAGGAAATCGTAGACCAGCCTCGCGGCCAGCCCCATGCCGGTGCCAGTGCAGAATGCAAAGGTCAACGCAGAGAGCCATCGCAAGCCTTAAGGATTCGTTCGAAAGCCAGGAGGCTGGCTTGATCAATCCAAGCTAACGCTTCTTGTGAAGCTTTCCGGATTCAAGCAACGGGTACTGTTCTTCCGAAGCTGGCTTTTGGCCCTTCACAGCCTGCTCATTTGTTAACAGATGACAGGACTTACATTCCTGAACACGTTTTTGATGGCCTTGGCAGCTAACGAAGACACCCAAACTTCTGACTGTGATTTCCGCAAGCAGGCTTGCAGCCAGACTGCAAGTAACCCACTCGGGTGGTGTCAAACGCTTTTTGAAAAAAAGATTTCGTTTTCAAGCTCCTGCCAGTCTTGACTCCCACGATACCCCAGCTAGCCTGGACAGCTGTAAAAGAACGGCTTCAGACTCAGTCACAGCACGCTTCATAGGTTTTCCACCATTCCTCCTGAGACTCCCGCGGGCATCTGCTGAGCGGATCAGCTGGTACCAGATGCATAACCTCGCAGATTTGCTGAAGGAGACTTGGGACAGCAGCGCTGACACCCAAGCAAGTTGCTTTCACATTTCGATGCAGTCGACGCGAAACCCGGGGCAAGGTCACCGGTGCTGACCCGTATTGACCGCACATAGCACAAAAAAAAGCACACCTGTGCACTGCCTGTTGGACAAATAAGCCATGTGCTTAAGATGGAGCAAGTTATGTGAAGAGCGAAGGAACCGTTCTTCCAACCTCACATCCCTCAGCACAGGGTGAGGTATCCAAACAAAACTTTAGAAGCATCAAAAAAAAACATACGCCCCGCACATCAAAAAAAAACTTTTTAAGCATGACATCTGGGTAGTGGTAGTGGTGGTAGTGCCAGGACAAAAGGCAAGCATCAAACAAAGTGTATGTCGTTGTAAGGTGTTTTGGGTTTAGGGTTTTAAGGTTTAGTGTCTTTAGGGTTTAGTGTTTAAAGCTTCCTGTGTTTTTAGTGTTTAATGTTTTGACGGTTAAGGTTTTTAGGGTTTAGGGTTTTTAGGGTTTAGGCGGTTTTTAGGGTTTAGAGTTATTAGGGTTTAGGGTTTTTTAGGGTTTAGGGTTTTTAGGGTTTAGGTGGTTCTATGGTTTCTAATGCCAGGTTTAGGGCTTTTAAGGTTTAGGGTCTTTAGGGTGTAGGATTTTTAGGGTTTTTAGGGATTAGGCGGTTTTTAGGGTTGAGGATGTTTAGGGTTTAGTGTTTTTAAGGGTTTTGTGTTTTTAGGGTTTAGGTGGTTCTTAGTGTTTAATGCGTTTGTTTAATGGCTTTTAGTGTTGTTTTTGTTTGTTTACGGTTTAGGGTTTTTAGGTTTTAGTGTTTTTGGTGTTTAGGAGGTTTTTAGGGTTTAGGGGTTTTAGGGTTTAGGGTGTTTTAAGGTTTAGGGTTTTTAGGGTTTAGGTTGTGTTATGGTTTTTAATTGTTTTTTGATTAGTTTTTGGTGGTTTTACGGTTTAGTGGTTTAGGGTTTAGGGTTTCTAGGGTTTAGGTGGTTTCTAGGGTTTAGGACTGTTACGGTGTAGGATTTTTAGGGTTTAGTGTTTTGACGGCTTTTAGGGTTTAGGGTTTTAGGGTTTAGGGTTTTTAGGGTTTAGGTGGTTCTATGGTTTTTAATGTGTTGTTTTGTAGTTTTTAGGTGTTTTAGGGTTTAGGGTTTTTAGGGTTTAGGTGTTTTGTAAGGTTTAATGCTTTTAGGGTTTAGGGTTTTTAGGGTTTAGGTGGTTTTTAAGGTTTAGGGTGTTTTAGGATTTAGGGCTTTTATGGTTTTCAGGGTTTAGGGTCTTTAGGGTTTAGGGTTTTTAGGGTTTAGGGTTTTTAGGGTTTAGGCGGTTTTTAGGGTTTAGAGTTATTAGGGTTTAGGGTTTTTAGGGTTTAGGATTTTTAGGTTTTAGGGTTTAGGGTTTTTAGGGTTTAGGGTTTAGGGTTTTTAGACACACGCATCAGGGTTTTAGGCTTTAGGGCTTTAGGGTTTAGGGTTTTAGGATTTAGGGTTTTTAGGGATTAGGGCATTTTATGGTTTTGGCTCGTCTCGGTAAGTTTGCAGGCCTCCAAGGTTCAAAAACCATGAAAATCTCACTTCGTCCAAAACATTGGCCCTGTCAGTGTCTTGGAGATTCCAAGACGGAACAGAGGGCCTGAAATTCCCAAATCTGAAGCCCGGCTGGAAAGCAAAATCATTGGCCCTGCTAGTATATCGGGATTCCTCCGGGCAAACCTCCCTTTTTTCCCCGTAGGAGTAGTAGTCGTACTAGTCGTAGTCGTAGTAGTAGTAGTCGTAGTAGTAGTAGTAGTAGTAGTAGTAGTCCTAGTAGTAGTAGTCGTAGTAGTAGTAGTAGTAGTGGTGGTGGTGGTAGTGGTGGTAGTAATAGTAGTAGTAGTAGTAGTAGAAGAAGTAGTAGTAGTGGGTGGTGGTAGTAGTAGTACTAGTAGTAATAGTAGTAGTAGTAGTAGTAGTAGTCGTGGTAGTAGTAGTAGTAGTAGTAGTAGCAGTAGCTCATAATGAAAATGGTCATGATAACACTGGTGTTGTTTC